CCACTCCAAGCTAACCCAACCTATTTATGAGCGTAATTTCTCCCCTCCCTTTTCCAGGCACTGCAGTTCTGCAAAAATTACTCCCCCTCCCTCCCCGCCGAAAATCGCATGTTTATTGTTACAGAGTTTAGGGTATAAAATATATGTATGTACAACGTGGAATTCTTTTTAGTCCAAGAAGTTTTTGCTATCGGAGAACAATCGGAGACCAATTCCAATTTAGTGAGATACCAAACCGAGTTTACTATGCATAGGATTCTGCTTATTTCATCGGAGTCCCATTTTAAGCGGACACTCATCCCTATTACTGTAATATTATTCTTATGCCAGCGGTGGCCTATTTTAAACACACATACTAATGAATACTTTATGATCTTCTTATTTTGTTGAAGACCCTTTTCTGACGGAAAACCCCTACCCACAGACTAATACAATTCTCATTATTTCATTTTAAACAATTAAACCCAAACGTTTTCTTTTTCTTCTAGAAGAAAACACAGCATTTATCAATGATAAAGTGATAATAATAAAGAGGGTAGAATCAAAAATAACAGAGACAAAAAAAATGGCAAGAAGTAGAGATTAACAATTGTAAAATATATGAGAGATTCAAAACATGGTTCTTCTCGATAGTTCTTATAAAATGATTGAAAACATTTAAAATTTCAATCTTGCGGACAATTTACTTTTGTTAGACATGACCACTATACATTTGGCGAATTTCGTAATAAAGATCCTGTCCATTTTGCATAGTTCAAGGATTTCTATGATCTACTAAATCAATAGTTCTGGTTTGCAAATATGATTGCCCTAAGCATAAGTAAAATACATTTTTCAATCCTCTCTCTTTCTCTCTTTCGCAAGTCGATGAATAATTTGAAGAAAAACAGCACGCCGCAAAAAACTTGATTGGCCGCGAGTCACATGACCAGGCCTAGCCAATGAGAGGCCTGCCTGGTGCACGATAGATTCGCAATGTTTTTGCAAGTTGCAAGTTTTTGTTGCGGAGCACAGTGAGTGATCAGAATTGCTTCTCTCGCAAACTAAGAGGAGAAAAACCGGGTGCGTTGAACCTTGAAGAGTATAAGGCTAAACAGGGTGTCTCACAAAACGTACAACTTTTAAATAATAAGGATAGAAGTCTGAGAGTTAATCAAAATACTGTTGTTAAAATGTTTTATCGCTATTTTTTTCATTTTTAATATTGTAGCGTTTTGAGAATACTCACGTTTTTGTAAATTTCGTTTGAACAACTTGAATTCATATTTATAAAACAAATAAATTGCTCATAGGAGGGGGGGGGGGAGGGTTCTTAAAACCTTCATGATAATATATTAGATAATTATACCTCTGGCTTGGGTTCTATTCCAAATGTAACTGTCTGTGTGTGCTATGATTACTGCAGTGTATGTTTAATTGTTACCTTTAGCTGACCCGTAAAATTCAGAGAGATGTTTACAAAAAAAGTAATATAGCAGTAGACGATTAATTCAATACAATGAAGATGATTTCTTATTTTATATTATTTTGGTAAAATCGCCTACCACTGCACTTCAGAATAAACGTCTTATTCCTTAGTTTAAACATTTCGACGCAGGAGGTCGTTTAATTCAGTTTTGGGCTATTTTTGAAATTCCACGGGCAACGATGTACATTTACCTCACTAGAAACAACTTTTCGTGCTGACCCATTTGATCTGAATGTGAATAAAAAATAACTTCATCTCAATCAATCAAAATCTGTAGAACAGGAGCATTTTGATTAATAGATGGAGTTTCCTTCAAATCTTAAGAGTTGGAAACCAAGATTGATTCTCTGTTCTTGGAGTTGGCCAGAGTTTTAGAAACATTCAACAGATTTTAGCATTTAGGTTAAAATGACATTTTAAGATTTTCAGGTATAAAAGCCTGTTTTTATCACACTCTCTGTCATCTCTGACAAATTTATATGGAATCCCATAATTGCAAAGAATTTTAATGATTGAAGGGACTGCTGCTGTTCGGCTAATGAGATTTAAAATTTTCAGCTATAAAAGCCTGTTTTTATCACACTCTCTGTCATCTCTGACAAATTTATATGGAATCCCATAATTGCAAAGAATTTTAATGATTGAAGGGACTGCTGCAGCTGTTAGCCTAATTTATATGGAATCCCATAATTTCAAAGAATTTTAATGATTGAAGGGACTGCTGCTGCTGTTAGCCTAATTTCAAGTGAATCTTCAGTCTTCATTGATTGAGTGCCATGTCACATTCACAACAGTAAATTGAAAGCTTTGCCTGCTCAAGTATGAACTGGATATCCATATTTTTCTTTTTAAAAAGTAATATAAAGTTTGCAGATCATGGAACCATTTGGAGAAAGGAATACGATTAAATAAATCTTGTAATGGTATTTGAAGTCTCAACCTCACTGAGTAACCATGTACATTTATACTCTTTCAAAAATAGTTTTTAAGCTTTAAACTTTAACTTATCCAGAACATGTTGATCTGATCATAAAAAACTCTGCAAACATTTCATGTATTGAACCCAACTTTTTTGGTTTTCTTCATCCTGATTGCTGGCGTCCTTGGTTAGACCTTTCTTCTGAATCATACTGCAGAATTTAATTGATCCAGTTACTTACATTTACATATCTAATAGAAAACAATTTTATAAATCCTGATGCAAAATCCTGATCAAATGCAAAATACAGTTAAAACTCATAATAAACCAAGAAGAATATATATTTAGAGAAAAAAACGTTTGAATATTTATCACACAATGCTTGTAACGATGTCAAGCACAATATCAAAGGTTTTTAGTTATAATCTTCTATGATGCATATCCAATCATTGAAGGTAAATTAGCTATATGAATAAATGATAATCATAATAATAGTCAAATAATGATAATAATTATAATGGCTGGATTCTGATTCTGAATAGGGTTAAGTTTATATTAATTCTGTCAATTGTTTGAACAAGAGATAATCGTATAACTATTTTAAAATTAATAAATTTTTCATCTCATTGAATCGTAAACTTTTAAGGCTGATTAACTGACAGAAAAAGACATAACTTAAAAAATATTTTTTAAAAATAATTCATTTATCTTCTCGTTGAATTGTTCTACGAAACTTCATGGGTTGAATTTCCTCCAATTTTTAGTTAAGATTTCACAATGTTTAATTCAATAAGCTGTCTCTGAGTCCAATTTAACATTATTATCTAATTATAGGTATAAAAAGTAAACAACATGTTTTTTTTCAAATATAGATATCACAACAAACAGTGGAAAATATTATTTGTATCACAGTGCAAGAACTCGGAGAACATAAAGTATTATTCTTTAAAAATAATGTGAATAGAAATAAGTTATTTGGAAGACAGTAAACGTAAGATATAGTGAAGACAACCTCACGTTTCATCTGTATTTTAAAAATAACACCTTGGAGATATATGCTCACATGAAATTGGAGATTTTAAAACACATGTGTTTCAGCCGTACGAAATTTTGAACTTAGATTTTGCGCATTACAATCGGTAAATTTGCGAAATTTCGCATAAATCATTTTGTGCGATTCAATCCACCAATAAGATATTAGCAAAGTGTATTTAGGGTTATCTTGTTGAATTTACTTTCAAGAAGTTTTTTAAGCTTTTTTTAAATAGTTTCTGTCTACAAATGTGAATGAGAGTAACAAAAGAGTGTCATTTATAAGTAATGAAGATCTTTTTAACCTTTAATTCAATTGCCACCTGGGGTTCATGCTTTGTTCTTTAGATATTAAAATCCCGAAATTCGGTAAAAAGAATTGCTAAAGAAGAAATAATTAAAGTAATGACCGATAGACCGGCTAGAGAACGAACATTTGTCAGCAATCAATCATCAGCAAAAAACAGTTTAAAGATAAATCTTGTGGTTCAATTGAGGGTCAAAACAAAAAAAGTTGATAATTGTACGAATGTGTTTTGTGTAACGTAATGAAATGCATACTGAAGTAGGTAAACTGTGATACATTGCGCTATTTAAATATTTGAATCCGCTTGTTGGACGTCTTGTAAACTTGACTTTGATTCCTTCCACCTCCTTGTGGTATCCTGTTCAGCCCTACGATTTAACCAACTTCTTCGTGGTCAGCATCTCCATGGACCTCCTAGAAAACGATCATTTCTATTGTATTCAGAATTAACTAGTTTACTGTAAAAGTCGTAAGAAATGTCTTTGGATTTCTTCCATTTCCAAACTTCCTTCTAAGAACATTTTCTAAGTATTTTCTCTACACTTGCATATTATGAGAACAATTTAATCTTGGATATACACTATACAGGGTTACAATTTAATCTTGGATATACACTATACAGGGTTACAATTTAATCTTGGATATACACTATACAGGGTTACAAAGGATGAAACATCTGAGACGACTGTACGGTTTCTGTTCAGTCCTGTATCTTTCATTAAAGGTTCCCTACAGCTCTAATAATTTTTTATTTAGCAATTCATTTCATAGCCATTTAAAGACAATATCTAAGGAAGAAAAGAAATCAAATCTTTAGGTCGTTATATTTAAAAAGTTTTAAGGTTTCCATTCAAGTCTAATGATTTGTGGGAAACCCTGTTTTACATAAAATAAGATTGACAAATCAGTGTCTGACAAATGACATTGTAATCCCTTATAACCTTTTGTATTTTGAATTTGAAAATATTCTTATGTAATTTATTAGTAATTTTGCTTCCTAATTATTTACCTGCATATGATCCAAATACTTTTCATGCCACCTGGCGGCCATATCGTGTCTACAGGAATCCGTGAGGGCCAGCTTGTACAATACTGCAAATACTAAACCGTGCAGTACAACAGCATAGAAAAACACCGCCAATCTAAACAGAAAAAATATTCACGAATTATTTTCTTCTTTTAAATCTGATTCTGATATTCAGCTAAAAATTAGACAAATTTGGCAATTTATTATTAGATTTAGGCTCTGGAACAAGGATAAGACAAGGCCGTGTGCATTGGATAGAACAGAGCATAGAGCATTGCGCTGTGGCTAGACCAGGCAATAAAAGGGAACACTTTTGTATTTTTCTTTTTCTATATCATTAGTGGCGTGGTCTTATTTTTATAAATGTGTTGTGTAATGTCTGTTCTTAAAAGATCAAAATTGTCAGTTTTTTAGCTTTGTTATTAATTAATTTGTTACCTTGCTGTTTTGTTCCCAGCTATGAACCGAACCAATGATAAAATAATCTGAAAAAGTTATATAAATTTCATTCTTATTTGGTTTCAGATTTGCTTGTCTAGGTGTGATAAATTAGATTTTGGTTTTTAACTTCACATGAAGAAAATTTAAAAGGAAATCCTGATTTGACGTTTGATTGATACAATCGAACCGTCAGATAATAGAAAAAATGGAAGTTTAAAAATGTAAACGCACAGAATTTCTCCAGGAAATCTTGGGCTGGACACTTTCAGTCATCATACATCGTTAACTTTTATTTTAAGATTGTTCCGTAGATTGACCCAACTATTGTCTTGGAGGAAACACTATTTGGCATAAAAGACAGATAATAATCGTTGCTTCTCAGAATTATACTTAATAATTTACTTTCGAATTTTTTCTATTAAAAATGTTTATTTTTATCTTCTTAAATAAGCTAAGAACATTTTTTTAATAAATATTATGTTTATTAATAATTCTATTGAAGATTTACTAACCTTTTCAAATACAGTTAGCTGGGCATATTTCCGTTGTTTCTCCGCCTGGTTGAACGATGTAAATGGATCTAAATAAACAAACTGTCAAAACTCCAAAGCTGTTTTCAAGCTTAGTTTTTCCTTAAAGAGTAGTATGAAACTGTAAAACCCAAATCCTAACTTGGAATTTTTTAAATAAAGTAAAAACAAAACAGAACAAATGTTACAATTTTTTCTCCAATTTATTTACAATTTTAGAATTTAGATTCAATAAAAATTTTTGAATGGACATTGTAGGGCCTTACCTCCTATCTTGTATTTTATACTATTTGTATTATTTTGCGTAACCATTGGTATTATTTTGCGTATATATTTGTTCAACAAAATCATGACAAATCCTCTCAATTCCTCTTGAAAGTCGTCTTTATTAAAATTTTCTCTCCGGAGACTGAACACACACACCAAACCAAACCTTTCCATACCTCCGTTAATTGCTTATGCTTAACATAAAGTGTTCTTTATCAGATCCGAATAAAAATAGCATCAACAACTTAAATTACTCATGTCTTGGTCTTCCTGTAGGAATTTGGAAAGAAAAAATCAATTCAAATTATTTTAAAACTAGAGCAACTGATTTCGATCAGATAAAAACAGTGCAGATGGTTAAATCAATTAATCACATTCACTTGTTACTTTTATAAAAACTGATTGAAATGTATGCTTGATCTAAGTAAAACCTTAGTTAGGAAACTATTTTTCTATATTCAAGTCCAAATTACTCTGTAGGCCTGCTTAATTAATTATTTCTTAATTTTGAAAGAATTTCTTTAAGTACAGGGTGTCCCACGAAACATGACAGTTGGTAAATAGTTTAGAATGTCATCTTCCAGAATTTTTTAAGTTGTTTTATGGGAAAGACGATGATAAAAATATTATATAGGAGTCATATAATAGTAAAATTAATTTCAAAGCAGAATAAATTTGAGCATAATATTTTTCTAACAAAATAAACTGCTAAAAGTCTTTATAACTAAAAACTTTAAAACTAATACAGTGTATGGAAGACGACATTCAAAACTATTCACCAACTGTCATGTTTCATCTTAAGTAAAAAAATATAATTTGTCATTGAAATGAAAAATAAATCATGCAATGATTAACATTCAATTTGTCTTAACTTTGAAAAGCTAAATTAGTAAGATTTTAAATTAATTGAGAATTGATTTTTGTCCAAAATAAGATTTTGTAAATCCTAAATTGATTTAAGATTTACCAATCTTTTAGCATGATCAAACATTTCAAGAAATAACTAAGTTTCACAAAACAAACTAAATGTAATACAATACAAACATTTTTTTTAAAAACATGTATCATAAAACGAAAGAGTTGTTCCGAGTTACGAGAACATATTTAGAAGGACATTTTCCTATCCTAACTTGTCTAAAAGGACATTTTCCTATCCTAACTTGTCTAAAAGGACATTTTCCTATCCTAACTTGTCTAAAAGAAAAACTCAAATCTAAAGGAAGCTTCAGCGGTGTTGAAGAAGCCCACACAGAAAAGACAATGCAATGTATATTGTATACCTAATCTTTGCTCGTACGAGGAATGGTATTTGGATTCTCCGGGAACTAAAGTAGATTGTCCAGACTTTATACCGGAGCAGGATTGTAGGTATCTAGACAAACATGAGAATATTAGGTTTAATACAGATTAACAGGGGGGGGGGGGGGGGGGGCTCATTCCCCTTCTTTGTCCTGAAAAAAATTGAAGAATTTTTTTATCGTTTGCATTTTTTAAATGTCAGAACAAATCAAAAAGTGAATAATTTGCCAATAGTTTATAAAAAGTGAAAGCTAATAAGATGAAAATCAAGATCTTGACTAAAAATTACCTTATTTTCTCGTAAAGTTTAATATTGTCTTGCTTCAAATGCTGAAGTTCTCCCTAATATTATAATATTATAATAAGATCAATTATGTCGTTAAGATCAATGAACGTAAATTGTAAAAATTATTGGCAAAATAATTTGACTAAATAAACTATAAAAAATTAAAACTGAATATAATGAAATTTTAAAATGTTAGATTTTAATGATTATTTAAACTTTATTTATATTTCCAACGAGATAAGTTGCAGCATTCATTCGAAATCCTAATTGTCCATAAGTGGCATTTCCAAAATGAGGTCTGCTTTTTTTCTTTCAAAATGACAGCGACCGGAGATATGCAAACTTTCAATCGCATTTAAATTCATTTGATAATTCCAAAACTGCCATGACATCCAATGTACAGAAAAAGTAGACCATATTGTTCAGCATTCTTTTCTTAAACACAGTCAAAGATCTTTCAGTCGTCTGTAAATCAACATTTTTTGTAAAAAATATTTGCATAAAAATATCATAACTACCTGGATTGCGTGAAGTTGGGAACGCTGTTGTTCATTATTAAGTTCCAGTTCCTCGTTGGCGGCACGTAATCGTTCCCGCTGTGCCTGCACAATACCCAAGAGTGTTCCAGCCTCTAAAAAATAAGTATATTGTAATTTGACTACTTTATATATATTATCAAAACTTTTCAATTAAAAAATAATGAATCTAAATTTACTGGAGAAAACAAATTCCTTTCCCCCCCCCCCCCGCTCCCTGGAAGGGTGGACTCGTTCGAAGAAACCCTGTTTACCTGGAGTGCCAGGCACAGGGCTGAGACTGGATTCTTTAAAGAAAGTTTCATCTCCAGAATCCTGTAGAACCTCCGCCAGCATATCAGACGAGGATCTGCCCTCCGCCTCCTCTCTTAAACATTAGTTTTGGCTCAGCTACATTTTGCCTAGTCACAATTTGCCTAGTTCCAAGTTTGCCTAGTAACATTTTGCCTAGGTAACGAAAAAGCATGTTTTTATGCCTACGCTTTTTATCAAACAGGCAAAACCGAACTAGGCAAAATGTAGCTGAACCTTGTCATAAAATCTCTGTATTCTATCCTAAACATTATTATCCTACATGTAAATACAGTTTACAGATTAGTCTTTACACTATCTGTAATATGTACTTCTGTACATTGCCTGTACAGTGCACAGATTGTTTGTACACTATATGTACGGTTTACTGATTATCTGTACACTAACTGTACGGTGTACCGATTGTCTGTACACTCCTGTACAGTGTACTGATTGTCTTGCACTACCTGTACGATGTTCTGATTGGCTGTACACTATCTGTACGGTGTACTGATTGTCTGTAAACTACCTTTACGGTGTACTGATGTTTGTACACTACCTTTACGGTGTACTGATTGTCTGTACACTACCTGTACGGTGTACTGATTGTCTGTACACTACCTGTACGGTGTACTGATTGTCTGTACACTACCTGTACGGTGTACTGATTGTTTGTACACTACCTGTACGGTGTACCGATTGTCTGTACACTACCTGCACGGTGTTCTGATTGTCTGTACACTACCTGGATGGTGTTATGATTGTCTGTACACTACCTGTACGGTGTTCTGATTGTCTTTACACTACCTGTACGGTGTACTGATTGTCTGTACACTACGTGTACGGTGTACTGATTGTCTGTACACTACCTGTACGGTGTTCTGATTGTCTGTACACTACCTGTACGGTGTTCTGATTGTCTGTACACTACCTGTACGGTGTTCTGATTGTCTGAACACTACCTGGACGGTGTTCTGATTGTCTGTACACTACCTGTACGGTGTACTGATTGTCTGTAACTGTTCTACATGATCCTCTAGCTGTGCTATAAGATCTGTCTGTTTACTGCACTGTGCACTACGAGCATCAAGTTCAGATTTTAAATCCTTAACAAGAGAAAAAAATAAGATTGTGGTGGTAAAACTAATATATTACAATTTTTTCTTTTATTATCAAGCAAAAGTTTTTTCTTATTTGTAAAGTTTAAATTTTGTGCAGAAGGCCCCTAAGACACCAGAGCTGAAAACTTTAGAATGGTGGATATTGAGATTATTGCTTGATTCTCTCTTTTTCTTAATATCGAGACTAACCTAATCTTGTACTGGTATCCTGAAAAGTGTATGAATTCCAACCAATCAGAGTCGCGTATATGAAGCCGATAAATTTGAAATTTTGCGCACCATTTAAGATTATATACAGAAACGGGAGGGACTCTCTAAATCAAAAAAACGCGGGTTTTATTTTTTCTCTACTATATCCAAGAAAGAACGGTTTAAGAATAAAATCAAAAGTGTGTACATTGGATACTCAGATTAAGTAATCGGGATTAAGGATATCTCATTCTAAAGTTTTCAGCTCAGGCCGTATTTAAAGGATAATATATCAATAAAATGAAGATGACTTTCGATTTCAATTTTGATTTATATCAAGCTTTCAAACAGCATGGATACACAAAAACATGGAAACAAAAAGAAGCTGTCAAATAAAAAAAGCGTCTCTTTAATTAACTGTAAACGTATAATTCGAAAAAAGCTTGTTAACATTTAAAACTTGAATAAAAAGTCGTCTTCATTATATTCATATAATCGCCAACCACCGTATGTAATATAAAAATACTTCTTTAGTTTCACAAGAAAGAAAAAATCAACAAATTTCAAAGGAAGTGCTCAAGATTCACAGTTAAAAGTTGACGGAGTTGGTAATATTTTACTTCAAACCGATGTTTCTGTTTTTCAAATTCTCTGAACAGAAACATCTTATAAAAATAAATTTAGTACACATCTAATCAAATCTTTATTCTGGTTCGATAAAAAACTCCATTTATTTTCCCGAACACTCCCTTTAATGTATATCCTGGGAATTTACCTGTAATTCCCGAGCTATTCTTTCCCTGTCTAATCTGAGGATTGAATTCTCAGATTGAAGAACCTTACTCCGCTCCAGGATTAGAACCTCTAGGGGTCTATTATCCTACAGAGAGATAATATTAATATTCAAAGAGTTCCTAGATAATAGAATCTTACTCCTCTCCAGGATTAGAACCTCTAGGGGTCTATTATCCTACAGAGAGATAATATTAATATTCAAAGAGTTCCTAGATAATAGAATCTTACTCCTCTCCAGGATTAGAACCTCTAGGGGTCTATTATCCTACAAAGAGATAATATTAGTATTCAAAGAGTTCCTAGATAATAGAAACTTACTCCGCTCCAGGATTAGAACCTCTAGGGGTCTATTATCCTACAGAGAGATAATATTAATATTCAAAGAGTTCACAGATAATAGAACCTTACTCCGCTCAAGGATTAGAACCTCTAGGGGTTTATTATCCTACAGAGAGATAATATTAGTATTCAAGGAGTTCACAGATAATAGAGTTACTCTGCTCCAGTATTTGAACTTCTAGGGGTCTATTATCCTCTCTAGGAACAATATTAGTATGCAAGGAGTTCACAGATAATAAAACTTTACTCTGCTCCATTATTAGAACTTCTAGGGGTATATTAGATTAGATTTCTAGGGGTCTATTATCCTCTAGAGGGACAATATTAGTATTCAAGGAGTTCACAGATAATAAAACCTTACTCTGCTCCAGTATTAGAATTTCTAGGGGTCTAATATCCTATAGAGGGATAATATTAGTATTCACTTCAAAGAGTTAGTATTCAGGGAGTTAATAAGATAATAAAACATGAAAACTTCTTGTCTGATGAAGGTTAAATGGATTTATAGAACCTGATAACGTTTAAATTGACATTTTATAATATATGTACAATCTACATTACCTCCATTTTTTCTACTGAATTATCTTGGTTAGAAAACTCCAGGGTTTTTAAGATTCCAAGATCCTAAATAAACAAAATTGTATCGGTGGGAACTGCAGGACTGAGGTCAAAACTTTTGTATGTAAAATCTTATTAACACGCTTATTCGGTTTCTCACAAAGGATGAGACTACAGAGACGACTATACGAAATTTTATCGTCTGTTTCCTTATATTTTCATGATTCCCCGCAGCTGTAAAAGTGTGTCTTTATTTGCCAATTAATTTATTCAGCCAGGATTTTATCAGTGACAGAAGACTTAATTTAACCTTGGAATCGTCATATTTTTAAAATTTCAAGTCGTCTTTACAGTCTCATCATTTGTGGGTAACCCTGTCTATAGTGTATGACCCCGGAATTATACTTTAAATTAAAGTTTGCCCTCTGTAGTGTATATCGAGTAAAGTTTGCCCTCTGTAGTGTATATCGAGTAAAGTCGAAGTCGCTAAGCGCGACCAAAACCGAAAGTTTCAGCCTCCAAGGCCTAGATTTACCTTCTTTATTTGATGATAATCCTTCTGTTTCTCTAATCTGTCCTGCAGCTCAATTTTCTCTGTCTCCAGCACCCCCAGCCTGCACTCCAGCTCATTCACCTTACCTAATCAGGGGTCCGAGTTCAGGGGTTAATGATTTTAAAAATCACAAAATGGGGGGGGGGGTACAGTTGGGTATTAAGGTGGGGTTAGCCAAAATGAATTAATTCCATAAACCTCTTATTTATGTCAAATAACGCTTGGCTGCTTAAGCATTCATTTTTGAGAGAAGTCTCTAAGTTGTTCAAATGTTATGTTTTAGTTGAGAATTTCGACCGAAAACCCGCTATTTCATTGAAAACTCTTTAAATAGGATTTTTCAACAAGCTACTCAGACTAAATCAAGGTTTTTGCGTGCTGCTGGTGCCGCTAAATCTTTTCTATATGGCTGTTTGAATCTATTTATATATTTAGATATTATCACGAAACCGTTGTGCTTTCTTGTGCTTTTGCTATAAAATATATGTTTATCTTCCGAAATAGCTCGCTATAACAAAGACGACATCTAAATATATTGCAGGATTACAGGATCCATTCAAGGATAAATATATGAACGGGAAAAGTAATTATAAATTAAAATCAATATAAATCAATGTAAGCTACATTTGATAAAATGTTTGTAAATGAAAAGATTATCAGAATATATTTATTTTGTCCATTCTCACCATGAAACACAAGCAAATGCATTTTAAGAGTATTGTGACAAAAACCACTCACCCCCCCCCCCTCCCCCCAAAAATCCCCCCCGGGGGGGGGGGGGGTTAGGAATGAAAAATAGTTTTTTTATCCTTTGATACCTTTACTCTAATATTTCATTAATTCCCGCAATTCAGCGAAAATACACCTTTTAGGGAAAAAAATTATTTGCAGAGAGGGGGGGAGCAGTTGATCCAAGGGTGTAATGCAAGGAAAGTCAATTGCGGTTGTGTATACTCTGTGTACATTGAAACCAGTTCTCTCTGGGCGGAATTTGTAAACAATATTAGATGCATCAGTGTTCGTTTAGTATCCGAGGAGGTTAAAAGCATTAAATTTTGATAATTTTGATAATTCACATAATAGTTTCCTATGATCAGAATATTTCATTGATTTTTTTTGTGAAAGATGGATCCCATGTCAAGCTTCGACATCCGTCTTGTGTTTACATTAGCGCTCAGAGATGTGTACACATCTGAAATAACTTTCCTTGCCTTACATCCTTGAGTTGATCCAATTCTCGCTATTCATTATGTTTGACCCCAGAACTCAACTCTTTCCGGGTTCATGGTGATCGGAGTTTATGAAATTTTCGGGGGAAACAAGCTGATTGTAACTTTTGTTTACAAGTATTAAAAAATATATCTTTTTTATTTGTTTTTGTCAAAAGAGATAAGCAAAACTTAAAGAAATATTATGAACACTGGATATATTTTTTACAGGACGGATCCAGAATCCGGATCCGCATAAAAATTAAATGGATCCTAAACACTGTTCAGAACTTACTTGTATATTTGGTCTCAACGTCGGTCAGTGTCTTGTTAGTTCGTTGTAGGTCTTCAACAAGCTGACTAACCTCTCTTTCCTTAGCAGCTAGTTGTATCCAACTATCCTAAACAATTAGACAAGATTGTACATTTGGAAATAATAATTCTTTCTTAATTTGATTGGTACTTTGTATTGTTTCTTTAACTGTATTCAGTCTGAAGTCAGGCTATTAAGGGACAAGATTAGTTTTAGTTAAGTTTAATCAAATAAATGAAATTATTAAATATGGATATTACAGATCGAGGTAAAAGTAAAAACCATCTCAATACAAAACTCAATGTAACTTTCTTTCTTGGGTATGTAAAACTTTTATTCTGAATTTACTTCTTTTTCAAATTGGCTTATTTCATGCCACAACATTTTTGTTTAAGTAGTTCAAGTTGAGTCGGCTAGAAAAGGAACAGGAGAACTAGTTGAACCAGTTAAATCTACCTACCATTCAAATCTACCTCTGGCAAAATGTTTTATATTTTCTCAACTTGGAAATAACAAATTTGGAGGTAAGAAGACTCCTTTGGTTAACACTACCTTATCATTCACCGAATCCACGGACTCGACCTCGGCGCTGTTGGACTCTATCCTGAACCCTTCCAACCTCTCTTGCAGGGTCAATACTTCACGCTCAGCTGCTGCAGCCCTCTTACAACATTTAGATTTAGAGAGTTTGGGATTTAAAAAAATTAAATTTCTGTTCCAAATAAAAATGCTTAAGATTAAATTATGCTATGACACGTCAAACTTGCTCTTTAATTTATTTTCGTTCACATGAAACACTTCTTGTCTTCTATAATTCAAATTGACGAATAAAATGGTAATTTTGTCCTGATCACATTTTAGAAAAAAGACCAAAAGCAGTAACAGAACTTGGAAAAGGAGAAATTAAAACATGAATGAACAATCCAATTGTCTCTTAGAAATGCGCAAGGATTAAAGTCGTGTCCATTTTCTTGTGTTGCTTTTTCTACCTGATTCGCTCTCTCCACATCTGTAAGCAACATCTCCATCTCATCGGAAAGGGCACTTCTCTACAACAAATAAAAGAATAATATCCCTAAGAAGTTTGTAATTTTGAGTTTACGATATTTTTTACTATTTTTTATCTGTTTTGTTTAAAAATTACTTACCGTGTTATCTTGTTTATATTTCAATTCGTATAGTTCCGCCTGTTAATAAAGTTTTTAATTCAAGTCGATATACACTGTAAAGTGTACATTTTCCAGATTCTTAAATATTGACGGGAGCGCATTAATCACTTTTTAACGATTAACAGGTCGTCTTTCTTTATCTTCCAGAAATCTTGATATTTTTTTTTTGTAGAAAATAATAAAATACCCCTTCTACCTTACATTTGTCAATTCAAGATGAATGAGAAACTATGAAAGATATTGTCAGAAATCAACATGTTTTAAAGATAGTAAACGACGAAATCTTCCTCATTGTTATTAAGATAATGATTAGAAGGCTACAGTTGTAAATCAGACATGACACCCTATAGATTAAAATTACGTAAAAATCGTATATCAATCAAGAACTCAAATTTATATCGTTTAATCATGATTAAAACTCTCCTGAGCTTCTTCTAGTTGTAAAAATGCATTTCTTGATTTATTTTCAGCATCCGCCATCTTGTTCTGATACATCAGCTGTTCTTCTTCAATCAGCTGATTCAATAGAGAAGATTATCGAAAGAGAACAATTTCATTAATGATAAATCAACGTTTGTTTTGCTTTCGTCAAAATTGATCTGTCCCCCCCCCCCC